CTTCTTACTTAATATTTTTGCCGGATATAGAGTCCGCAGCCGGAGCCGCCTCTCTGCTCTTTCCCGTTGTATTTATTTCTAAACTCAGAAGGGTGACTTAATCATGGACTGAGGTCACACAGGATTTAGGACGTAATGCTGTCAGGTACAACAGTGCGCTATTTTGATAATAATTTTTACTTAGTTGGTACATATGACATTTCCTATTGATAATAACAATTGAATTGTTGAATTTTGATATTGTTGATTGTAAATACTTCATGAAAGAAGGAATTTAATAAGGTAATATTAAATACACTATTCATCATCATCATCCTCAACATGTATGCGTCCACTGCTGGACATAGGTCTCCGTCAGCTCTTTTCACCTGTCTCTGTCTTATGCGACTGGCATCCAGCCTGCTAACAGGCTTGAGGCCGTTAGTTCATCTACTTAGTGGGCGTCTTCCTCTGCTCCGTAGTGCTTCTTATCTTAATCTCCACTCGACAATACGTTTTGTCCATCGGTTTTCTGATAATCTGGCGACGTATCCTGTCCAATTTACAAGTATTTCTTCGTTTTCTTCGTTTGGGATTCGGTCTCTCAGAGAGACACGCAACATCTGGCGCTCCATAGACCTTTGAGTCACGCGAATCTTAGTTACTAAATACACTATTAAATACAAATAAATACGTGAACCGTAACGCTTGGAACTATTCATATTTATGTTTTAACGATATTCATCACTGTTTACACATCTCAAGGTGCTACCAGTTTCTCCAGATTAAGTGTTTGTTATATATACTTGTAATTTCTTAGTATACTGTATATATTTGCTTAAAACTGTATACTGTATATATTTCTGTCTGTATATATTTGCTTAAAACTAGTCTTAGGTGATGGTCATATTAAGGATACTGAAAGGGTGTCTAACAATACCCTACTATGTTACGTCTATTAGGTTAGATTTACAACAAAGTTTCTAATAAAACATTTTTCGAGTATTCAAGTTATCTATAGTATAAATTACTCAGAAATATGCACTAACTCAAAATATGTACCATTGCTTTAGAATAATGTAAAGATATATTTTTTTACTTTATGTTTTCTATAGTTATCGATTTGCCATGATTTATTAAAATTATTGAATATAAATTATAAATTATCCTTAAAATTTTAAATCTAATTAAACCTTTCTTATCAAATATATATAATAACCAGAAACAATTAATTTTCTTGTGGCATTTTATTTTATTGGGAATATATATTTATTTAAATGGGAATAAGCCACAATTAAAGTTTAAAGTACGTTTATTGACGTTTCAATTTCCACTTCGGAAATCGTTCTCAAAATACAATTTCCGAAAAGTGGATTTCAGAAGTGGAAATTGAAACGACAATAAACGTACTTTAACCTTTAACTGTGGATGATATCGATTTAAATAATAAAATATTATTAAACAAAATGCTGAAAGTATTCCTTCTTATATTGGACGATATTAAAATCGATTGTAAATAGCTGATATTGTAAATATATCACCCAAATGAAAACCGTTCGTTTTTTTATAAATTATTATCTATTGGTATACGTTTTTAAGGAAGCGGCAAACAACGTCCTAGGACCAGAAGAATCCACTCCACGCAACAGTTGGTTCGACGATGAATGTGAAGATATCACTAAAAGAAAAAATTATGCATATAAACTTATGCAACAAAGAAGAACACGGGATAAGGAGCAAATGTACAAAGATCTTAGGAAGGAGGAAAAACGCATACATCGAAGGAAAAAGCGGACCTTCGAAAACCAGATTATGCAAGAGCTTCAATCATTAAAGGGGCAAAATGAAACTAGAAAGTTCTATAATATCCTAAATAAGACAAGAAAAGAATTTAAACCACGGCTGACGATGTGTAGAGACAAAAATGGACATATAGTCAGTACCGCTGACGCAGTACAAAGCAGATGGGTTGAGCACTTCAAAGAACTACTTGGTACCGAAGTGGAAAATGATGCGTCACCCCAAAGACCAAGAAATAACACTCACGTAGAACCTCCTTCAATATTTGAAGTGAAAGACGCAATCACACGACTCAAAAATGGCAAGTCCCCAGGAGTGGATTGTATCCCCGCAGAGCTCATCAAACATGGAGGTAACAGCATTATGCACCAAATTCACAACATAATAGTCAAAGTCTGGGAAGAAGAACAAATGCCAGAGGAATGGTGCACTGGAATCATATGTCCACTACACAAAAAGGGAGATTTGTTGGAATGTAAAAATTATAGGGGTATAACTCTTCTGAATACAATGTACAAAATATTCTCCAACACCCTGTACAGCCGTTTAAGTACGTACGTGGAAGAAATCCTTGGTGAGTATCAAAGCGGTTTTAGGCCAGGTAGGTCAACAATTGACCAGATTTTTGTGCTACGTCAAATCTTAGAAAAAACCAATGAATTTAATATTGACACGTTCCATCTCTTTGTGGACTTTAAGTCAGCGTATGATAGCGTCCTAAGAGGTAAACTATACGAAGCCATGAATGAACTTAACATTCCCCATAAATTAATAAGGCTCGTAAAAACAACTATGAGTAAAGTGATCTGCAGAGTGCAAATACAAGGCGATATGTCACAAGCGTTTGAAACATATGCAGGGTTACGGCAGGGAGACGCGCTGGCGTGCCTTCTCTTTAATATAGCGTTAGAAAAGACTATAAGAGATGCCGAGTTACACAATAGGGGAACAATCTTTAATAAATCAACGCAGATTATGGCGTACGCTGACGATTTGGATTTTATTGCACGTACTACACGAGGACTTAAAGAGATGACTTCCACCTTCTTGACAGCCGCACAAAATATGGGCCTTAAAATAAACGAGGAAAAAACCAAAATGCTAGCATCTATTCCAAATAACAGAGATAGAGCTAGAAACGCCGAACAAAACTTCAGTATAGACCAATATAATTTTGAGGTAGTAAATAAGTTTACATATTTGGGTTCTCTCATAACAAACGATAATGACACATCTGAAGAAGTTAAACGGAGGGTACTGCTAGCAAACAAATGTTATTTTGGACTAAGCAAGCAGCTAAAAAACAGAAACTTAAGCCAGAAAACCAAACTAATAATATATCGAACACTCATCCTACCAGTGCTGACATATGGGTCAGAAACATGGACCATCTCCAAAACAGACGCAAATCTTCTGCTCGTCTTCGAAAGAAAGATACTAAGAAGAATAATGGGCGCATTCTGTGAGAATGGTATTTGGAGAAGGCGATATAATTTCGAATTGTACGGGAAATATAAAAAAATAGTAAATGGTAGAGATGTAATATCCTTCATAAAAATAGGCAGGCTTAGATGGGCTGGACATGTGTCAAGAGCAAATGAGAATTACCCACCCAGACGAACTCTATTATCGGTCCCAGTGGGAAATAGGAGTAGAGGCAGACCACGACTGAGATGGAGGGACGGTGTGGACGAGGACGCAAGGAAAATCGGCGCGGCAAATTGGCAACGGTGGGCGATGAACAGAAACGACTGGCGAAATAGACTGGGGAAGGTCAAGGCTCAACTAGAGCTGTAGCACCACTGATGATGATGATGATACGTTTTTAAGATAATCCAGAATAGACAATCTTGTTTTGTTTTTGAAATAATCCGATAAAAATTAATCTAACGGTGACAAATCTGGAGAATTCGATCATTTAATTGGGTTGTTTCGTTCTAATCATCTTTTTTATTCAAGCAATAAAGCACAAATAACATCCATTCACTATAAGTTTTGACATACATAAGAATTCATATAAAAAAATAGTTTATTTGTAAAATAAACATCCGTATCTACATTTTGCACCATAGTTTTATAAAATCAGCATTCTGCTATCAATCAAACATGTCTTTAAATCTTGTACCGTATTACTTTATATAAAAATGCTTAGTTTTCTATAAAATATTACCAGACTCACGCTATACTCTAATATAGCTTTCGGAATATTTTCAGGGAGTTTCTACAAAACTTTTGGACTTTATTCTTCTGTTTCGTAAAGATAGTAAAATTTTAAATATAACTTTAAAAATAAATTTACACAAGAAGTAATTTTTTAGTAATGTACAAGAAATAGTTTTATTCGAAAAGAATTGTTTTAAAACTTTTTTATAAATCTATCAGGAAAAATGAAAAAATATGGAGAAAATTTATATTATTAATATTTTATAAATTATATTTAAAAAAAATTGTGGTATTTAAAAAAACACCTATTGGTAAATTTCTGTTATCTGTATTCCGTTGGTAAATATTATCAAATAATAGCATAAGACAGAATACATATATTTTGATTAATATACCTACTACCTTGGTTGGTAAATTTAAAATAAATAAAAGTTTTTATATTTAAAAGCTTTTATATTTAAGAGTCTTTAAATTACCATTTCTCAGTGTTTCTATAAACAAATTACTATACTAGATTAAAATCGATCAACTGTTTTTATTTAACTTTTATGTTTTCATAATCTCGCCAATGCTATTATTTTCCAATTTTCAAAATTTCTTTCATTACAATTGTGTTGTTTTAATATGACCTTGCCATTATTCCTATTTATTACATTTTTTCAATGAATATTCTTTGACTAATCCAACAATCAAAGTAGCTATTAAGGCATACTTTTACTGCAGAAGCTTCGGTAGGTGAAGGTGTTCTTGCACTGCTTGGTGATGGGTTAAGGAAAGTCTAACAACAAAAGTATTCAAATAAATGAATGTTTATCAGGATTTGCATACGTCGGAGGAGCATGTGTGGTGAATAAACGGTTAGAAAAGGTCAATTCTGTTGCCATCATAGAAGACACTGGCGGATTTAGTGGTATTATTGTGGCGGCCCATGAAGTCGGACATTTGTAAGACATTTTATTATTATTATTTGTTAAAAAATAATTTTATAATGTAAATCAACTGTACAACTAAGTATATATTTATGTATTAAAACTCATTAAAATCATATTTTTCTATAGGTTAGGAGCTGTCCATGACGGAAGTCCACCGCCGTCATACCTGGGTGGACCAGGTGCTGAAAAGTGTCAATGGACTGACGGCTTTATTATGTCAGATTTAAGACACACTGAAAGAGGATTTAGATGGTCTTCTTGTAGTGTAGCCAGTTTTCACCATTTTCTGAAGTAAGCTCTTTTAAAATTTACTATATTCTATATTGTGCAGGTGACTTCATTAATTACATTTTTTCAGATGTTTTGATATACGATGTTGTGTTCTGGTTTTCTACTGTCTTGTGTTCTTCCCTTAGGGCTTAACGAATGGGCGTCATAGCTATAAGACTCTACTCTGTCATCATACTACTCATTTATATACCGACCTGATTTACTCACAAATGTCAATTCAAAGGCGCATATCTACACAATTAAGTGAGCTCACTAGCCCGGTGAGCTATCAAGTCGACTCTATCTAGTATTTTCATTTCTGTAACATGCATTCACAGTATTCTCTCCGTGCGTGACTGACGCGACACCTACCGCCTTCATCTGACCGTTTTGGACTTTTCAGGTTAAACATATGACATATGTTTGACATTATTAAATACATGCGAAATTGACAATTATTAATAATTAGTTTTTTAATTATATTTTTTCAGTTTATGTACAAAATAAATGTATTAAAAACTGGGTTTCTCAAAATTCATCATAATATATCTTTTCAAACACAAACGGAAAAGAAAAGGAAAAATTTAGTACTGGCAAATCAAGTTTTTCACGTGAAAGAGCATATAATTAAAAACAATAATAGTAAAAGTTATGATATAAAATCTAAAGTCATCAGGCACTCTGCAGTTAGCTTGAAGCGTTATGAAATGTCATTGAAGGTAAATTATTTAAATTTTTCCTATTTCAATTCAATAAAAATGAAATTATGTGATATTTACTTTTTCATATTAATAGCAGGAATTCATCTTTTTCTTTTCCCTAATTTATATGTATATATCTTTATATACATATGTATATGTATTTATATGTATATATATATATATATATATATATATATATATATATATATATATATATATCTTTGGTAACCTATAATAACTACATTCCCTATTTTTGCTATTATTAGCAAAATTTAATACGCAACATGTATTTGCACACATTTTTGAAAAAATTTATGCTTAAAAAGATTCCAATTTTGTAATTTTTTGCCGCTACGCACGCTGGCATCGTTTCAAGGTTCCCCTACCATGGTCCCGCATGGAGCAAATAAAATACAACATTTTGTACTTTATACTATCCAATCTTTTTGTTTCCAAATAAATAAAAAAATATTATTTTTTTACGTACTTTTTTATAATCTATGGTTTCAACATGATACCACTAGGAAACTAGAGATTTTTTTCAAGCAAATAAAAATCTGATAACTAATATAAAATGCAGGTTACTTTTTATGATACGATCCTTACCAGTGCTACAAAAAGTACATCGCCTGAATGTCCCGTGTTGTGGCATATGCAAACATTGGTCAACGCGTTTCTCATGAGACACAATTTTTTTAAAATGTTCCCTGCGACTGTAGGAAAAGCAACCCTACTTCGCTAAGGTTTACTACCACTGGCACCGATTAAACCCGAAACTACAGATAACTTCTGGTATTGATAAAAATTTCTGGTTTGGAACCGCGCATTTTGCTTTTTGTTGGAAGAGAATAAAAGAATTCACAACACATGCCACAAAATTCGGTGCCACCATTTCTTTGATTTGCTATCAATCTCATACACCGATTTCAGCATATCTATTTTGTTAATATAGCCCATACACTAGTTATATTCTTTGATCATCGTTGGACAGGCCACGACTTATGAATTTCCGTCTATTTACTTGCGGGAAACAGTTGCTTCTTCTGAAGGATTTTTGATGATTTCCCAAAAAAATGCACTATTTTCCGGCCTCTCCACTTTTCAAATCCAGTCCATCTTTGCTGACCCTCGAGTACGATTGTCTAAGATGTGTAATTCTTTGTCAGATGTTAAGTCTTTTGGGATATCTTTCCGGTTAGTCCTGACAGTGCCTCATGCTTATTCTGCTTAAAGTGTTTTTTGTGAGGGCACAGAGTTATCAAAAAAAAAACGTGATATCCTTTTGCCACCAAGTGTTGAGTCAAATCTAAGATAACTCTCTGACCCAAATCTTTTTCAGGTTAATCATTAGTTTTTCCAACATATATTTAAAATTTGCAAACATATCCATTCTTGTCAGATTAAACCCAAACTTGTTAACACCTCTTGTTATGTTTTAGAGGCATTAATTGCTTTAGACAACTGCGACCCTTGAAAGGAATCATAGATTCGTCTATGGATTAATGTTTTGAAGGCATCACCGAATTCTCTACTAAATACACGTTTCCTAGATGCCAAGCAAACCGATCTCTAGACATAACTGAACTTATGTAGTGATCTCGTCGTTCCTCTCTAGATAACCAGTAATCGACATAACTGTGTAACCTTTTGATTCCCATTAATATTTTGACTGCAATGAAAATGTCTTTGGCAGAAGTTGGTGTAAATGAAGAGTCTCCACCAGGTTTCTGAAGAGCGTAAAGGTTTGCTCGAATACAATTTTGACAAATAGAGTTCCGGGGAACTTTTTAACACCTCTTAATATGTTTTAGAGGTATTAATTGCTTTAGACAACTGCGACTCTTGAAGCGAATCTTAGATTCGTCTATGGATTAATGTTTTGAAGGCATCACCGAATTCTCTGCTAAATACACGTTTCGTAGACGCCAAGCAAACCGATCTCTAGACATAACTGAACTTATGTAGTGATCTCGTCGTTCCTCTCTAGATAACCAGTAATCGACATAACTGTGTAACCTTTTGATTCCCATTAATATTTTGACTGCAATGAAAATGTCTTTGGCAGAAGTTGGTGTAAATGAAGAGTCTCCACCAGGTTTCTGAAGAGCGTAAAGGTTTGCTCGAATACAATTTTGACAAATAGAGTTCCGGGGAACTTTTTAACACCTCTTAATATGTTTTAGAGGTATTAATTGCTTTAGACAACTGCGACTCTTGAAGCGAATCATAGATTCGTCTATGGATTAATGTTTTGAAGGCATCACCGAATTCTCTGCTAAATACACGTTTCGTAGACGCCAAGCAAACCGATCTCTAGACATAACTGAACTTATGTAGTGATCTCGTCGTTCCTCTCTAGATAACCAGTAATCGACATAACTGTGCAACCTTTTGATTGCCATTAATATTTTGATTACAATGAAAATGTCTTTGGCAGAAGTTGGTGTAAATGACGAGTCTCCACTACGTTTCTGAAGAGCGTAGAGGTTTGCTCGAATACAATTTTGACAAATAGAGTTCCGGGGAACTTTTTAATACCTCTTGATATGTTTTAGAGGCATTAATTGCTTTAGACAACTGCGACTCTTGAAACGAATCATAGATTCGTCTATGGATTAATGTTTTGAAGGCATCACCGAATTCTCAGCTAAATACATGTTGCGTAGACGCCAAGCAAACCGATCTCTAGACATAACTGAACTTATGTAGTGATCTCGTCGTTCCTCTCTAGATAACCAATAATCGAGCAACCTTTTGATTACCATTAATATTTTGATTGCAATGAAAATGTCTTTGGCAGAAGTTGGTGTAAATGAAGAGTCTCCACCACGTTTCTGAAGAGCGTAGAGGTTTGCTCTAATACAATTTTGACAAATAGAGTTCCGGGGAACAAGTGTAAAAAAAATCTACTGTCTTCTCCATATCATCTGGAATTTTAGGACCGATTTCCTCAGTGAACTGCTTAATGTTAGTAACACAAAATGCCGCTAACTTGGTCCAGGTTGTTCTTTTGAATAATTCTCTATCCCTCAAAATAGAAGGGGGGAATATTGTCCCCGTCATCCGAGAAGGCTTCATCACCAGAAATAATCTCTGAATTGTCGCCTCTTGAGTTTGGCTGATCTGGCTTGTCATCTTCAAGTATTATTGGCAAATTCGCAAAGTCAAGCAAATCCTCCTCGTTACTACTCGATTCATCTGACTTGCCATCTGAAGGAATGTTCTCTAATATTCTGAATAGACAACCCGACTACATATTGTTTAGCTCACAGAATGAATATACTTTTTTTGCTGAAATAAAAAAACCTATCCAGTTTCCTAGTGCTTTCAGGTTGAAACCGGCATTTTATGTCTTCAATATATTTTTGTTAATTGGAAACTTTTACTAATAGGAAATACTAATTATAAATACAAATGTTTCTAATATTGTAAATAAAAAATAAAGTTACGTGTCATAGAGAAATAATCTAAAAAAAACCACCAAAATTGCATCACCACCAATTACATTTTAAAGTAGGAGTAGCCTTATACGTCATATACCATGAGTGGTTTCAGGGAAATAACACTAAGAACATAGCAAAAAAGTTATTTGCATGTGGTTTCACAGTAAATCCACTAGGAAACAATGGTTTAAAATACCTATATATTTAAAACGAGATAATTAAACGAGTTTTTAAAATTGCAATTAGAGAGTCAGTAATTTTCAGTGCTTCTGAAATGATATAGTTTTTTATATAAGTAAATGCTTGTAGAATAAACTAGGTACAATTCTTCAGACAAACTAGTGCTAATAGCTAATAATTTTATTTGTATTATGGTATTCTTCTTATTCTTCTTCTTCTTGGAATATCTTGGACATATTAGACACATTACACGTAGTAAGAGATACAACTTGCTCCAACTGATAACTCCAACTGAAAGAGAAGCATAGAGAGACGTAGAATATCCTAACTGCTTATTCTGAGAGAATGGTACGGATGTATATCAAATGAACTTTTCAGAGCAGGCTACTCTAAATTCAGAATACCTATGATGATTGACAACCTCCGTCGCGCAGATGGCATTTGTTGTTGAAGAAGAAGAGATATTCTTCAACGTTATACCATTTGAGGAATTAAAAACTATAGCTTTCTCTTTTTGATAAAAAAACACACACTTTGTATTACATTATTTTGATTAATTAAAATACAAACTAAAATTATGTAAACAGACTTTTGTATCCCTACTTTTTCAAATCACAGTTTTGACGAAACACTTTTGGTTACCTCTGTCTTTTAATAAATTAGTGAAACTTTGATTGGAGTTAACTAAGACCTGCGTTTACCGCAATATAGCTTCTTATAGGCTAATCGCACAATTAGCCTCCTAAAAGGAAGTATTAATGAATATTTTTTTGTTCTTTATTTACAGCGGTGATACGGCTACGTGTTTATACAACGCCCCTCATGAAGATGAAAGCTTACCGAGAGTGTTACCTGGAAAACTATTAACTTTAGATGCCCAATGTAGAAGAGATAGAGGAACAAGTGCTTGCTTTGTAAGTGCATTTATTTATTATAAATTACATTTATACATTTTATTTTTAGTCATACTCATAAGGTTTTTTTTTCTATTTTGTTTAGTTTTATAATATATTTTTTATTAATTTTCTTGAACAAATAGAACTAATTAATGTTAGCTATATCTTCCTTCGTCCAATATGCTTGTATAGCTTTTACTTATATAGCTTTATTTTCGCTTTGTATTATTTTATAGGTTTTTCATTCTAAAATAGATTAGCTAAATATCGTTGCAATTTGAATGTACAAGCAAGAATTATGTTTATTCGGTGATATATATGACTACCACAAACTACCACTAATTAATAAATGTTTTTGCAGAAAGATGACCGAGTGTGTGCTCAACTTTTCTGCTTTGATGCAGGTAGTGGCTACTGTGTAGCTTATAGACCTGCTGCAGAAGGATCGCCGTGTGGAGATGGACAGGTAAATATATTTACAATTTAAACATATACTATTTAATTAAATCCATTTCTTCACAAAGAAATCGGGCACCTTCATATTTATAGTTCTAACGTTAATAATAATAAGGAAAAAATTATTTCTTTTACACTCTCTATTAGTATCTCAACATTTATCGTTAACGCTGGTTTTATTTACTTTCACAAATTTTTATATCAACATAAGGTATGAAGAAGTAACAAAAGTACAACAGCGCTATATTGCTAATAGTTTAATTTTAACAAAAACTACATGGGACAATTTGAAGAAACTAATCCTTACAAACGAAATATCGAATGCATAAGTCGATATAAAAGAGGCATGAAATATGGATTTAATGTTACTGTAATAATAGTGTGCGAAAGACTAGAAAAGAACCAGTTACAATCTCCAATATCTAAAATCTCAAAAAGTGTTGATACAACATCAATAATAGCAAAGATTAAACAATTCAGCCGTGTAAAAGTTCCTCTTGCCATTAGAATCTAAATTTAGTTTGAAGTCTCGACGTGAAGTGGGAAACAAATTTGAGGAGATTTAATGCACATTATGTACGGCTTTTGATAAAAAAACCGTTATATGCGAAAGGGTTATGTCAGGTGCATTTCATTTAAAGTGAGCACATTTAGTAAACAGAAAACAAATAAGCTAATATAAAAGGAGAATTGGTAGACTATGTACTACTATACGCACCATTCGTTGGTGTGGACTTTATCTTTATGCTCTACCACACTCGGCGATATATGACGAATATGGCACCAAATTATTTGAATAACATTGAAATCATATCGATGAATTAACTAAAACCCGTCAATGGGACATAAATCAAATAAAATAAGTCTTGACGAAACCGTTAACTCATTACAAGATGTAAAAACATTCAAAAACTGCAACGTGGTTTTCGAAGAAAATAAGAGCAACTAGTAATTGGGAAAATAAAGTAATGAACCTTCGAAAATTGGTGCAGTAAGACACATTGAAATGCAGTTTGGTGTATTCGACTCATGAGAGTGACAGGAAATTTTGTAAAGAAATGAAAAATTGCATTTTTGCGTAAGAAAAATGCATTTCCAAAGTGCATAGAAAATGAAAAATTTGCAACTGAAAAAATATCGACAGGAATGAGTTTAATTTTATTACCTGTTTTCGAGGGGACCTCATCTCCTAGAGTAGGAGCCCAGAGGGGACCTCATCTCCTGGAGTATGTTAATTTCATTCTAAATCAGTCGATAGTCATAAATCATGGTTTTCGAAATCGCTGATTACAAATATGATAACGACGATGGTCCTCGAGCTACCTTGTGCTCAGGGTGGACCTCATCTCTAATCTTATGTTATGTTCATTTCATTCGAAATCAGTCGAAAGTCATTACTTGTAAAGTTTTCGTGGTCGCTGAACACGAATATTTTGATGGCAATGATCCTAGAGCTACCTGGTGCCCAGAGTGACCTCGTCTTCTGAATTTTTATGTTATTTTCATTTGAAATTAGTCAAAAGTCATTACTCAGGGGGTTTTCGAGGTCGATAAACACGAAAATTATAACAGCGATGATTCTCGAGCTACCTGGAGCCCAGTGTGGACCTCGTCTCATTTAGTTTTATGATATTTTTATTCGAAATCCGTCAGCATTCATTACTTGAGGGTTTTTGGGGTTAATGAACACAAATATTACAAAGGCAATGATCTCCAAGGTATCTGATGCTCAGCGTGGGCCTCGTCTGTTACTTAATTTGTTACTTACTATTGTTATTAACAAGAAACTCCAGTTAAGAGTTAATTGTAAAGACAAAATGATCTGATAATAGTTTTTTTTTCTATATTTTTTACATTTGTTAATGTAAATTCATATTCATATTTTCATATTTTATTTCAGTATTGTCTAAATGGAAGGTGTGTTGCAGAACACGAAAACATAATCCCAGATTACTCTCAAAATACACCTTCTTATGTAAGAAGTAACTCAAGAACCTTGTAAGTATTGTACGAAAGTAATGTTTTTAATAAAAATATTTCTTTTAATTACTACAATTGTTTTAAATTCTGAAGATAGTAAAATTTGTTCAGATCATTTGTTTTTCACCAAACAGAATAAAGCAGAATAAGGCTTGTTGACCACGGTAACTCTAGTATAGTAGCGGTAATATAATATAGTAGAATGGTAAGATTTGAAAAGTTCCGGTTTAAGGTATAGTGCGGTGGCTGACACCTTACAAGGACCCTCAATCTAAACGCATGCTTGCATTGATATATGATGTAGGATGGCTTTTATAATTACTGTTGTTATTATTATATTTATTGTTAACAAAATAACTTAAACAGAGTTAAATCTAAAATTAACGTAGGTATACAGTACAAAATTATGAAAATTCAGCAAAAATTGCAAGCATGTCCCCCTCTTTTTTTTATTTGTTTGAATTTGTATCATTCCCGACAGCTCACTAAGATGCCAAATAGATCTTCAAAGAAAGCTGTACTGCAAAGCTTTTTAATGGAACATGATTTATATTCCGGAATGCTTCCTTCCGTCAACAGTTGGTTGTTACCTCTCGGGGAAAATTCCCTTTTTCTGAGCTAGGAAATTGTAGGTTACCTTAAAAAATGTAATCCTTTATTGTCGACCTAGTGTCTTATTAATTATAATGTTAATTTTTCAAGTTATGTAATTTAAGGATCCTCATGATGTGGCCAGTTCCAAATACTATATAGATGTAAGTAATAACCACGTTTTCATTTTAACAGTCAAAATTGTACCCCTTTTATATTCATTTTTAAGTGATTATACTTTTAGGTATTTCACTGTGGAGGATCTGATAGGATCGAAGACGTTTTTAAAATTTATAAATCCATTTTGGATCATTTTTAATAAATTTTAATAATAAAAGTTTATTGTAGTAGTATTATAAGTACCATTGTACAAAAAGAAGTTTTTACTTCACTATAAGTTTTTTTAAACTATGGTATACAGCCAACCACTGATAATTTTTCTTTTAAATTTCACTTTAAATACTTATACTTCTTCTTGATGTGCCTATCCATGATGAATGCAGGCGATCATTATGGCAATCTTTTTCTGATCTGCAGCAGCGCGGAAAAGCTGCACAGACGTTGTGTTAAACCAGGTTCTAAGGTTATTTAAACAGAATCTTCTTATTCTCTCTGGATCTCGGTTTCCAAATATGTATAAGTATTGTAACTTACGAGCTTTGATGATGGTCAGTACTTCTCGGTTCTTCTTCATTCTTCTGAGGATCTCTTCATTTGTGACTCAGTCAGTTCACGGGATCTTAATTTAATCTTCGATATAGCCAAATCTCAAATGCTTCCAATTTTATGCACATATATTTTGTTTGAAGTCGAATTTCTTATGTAGATTTTTGTATACATTAAAACATACTTGCTGTGTTTCAGAATTCAAATGCATTCGAATCTTCGTTACGGGTAATAACAAAAACCTAAAACGCTTCGCACAGACAGACCGATATAGTGTATGCTAACCGGTCAGTGTAAACAACGAAGGGATCAAACGTTCCGGTCTTGAAATTTTTCTACTATATTTATTACTTATACCTCATACCTTAGGCCGGCTCCACACATGGGATCCAACGTTGGCGCCAACATTCGAGCCAACGTTGAGTCAACTGTTCCATACATTGGGTTGATTATTGGGGTGATATTAGTCTGTGGCACCAATCCCTTTGATGTGTACCTACGCAAAAACCGACACTCCACGGAAAACTCCCAACATTGGAGCTAGTTATAAAAACGTTGGCGCCAACATTGGCCCACAGTTTTGTCGGTACACACATTGGACGAACGTTGTTGGAGCCAACGTTGGCCCCCATGTGCGGAGCCGGCGTTATACTATACTCAACTGCTGCAGAAGCGAAAATACACTGTCGCTGCTGGAAGTCATGCTTAGTAACTAAAATGCTTAACGTATTCAGATATGCTTTAAAAGGAATTTAATCCTTTAAAATATATTTATTTTCTGACTGTCCATCATTTTGGGTTCAGTATAGTTCGGTTGTATTTTTTTGGTTTCCAACAAAAAATTTATGACTGAACAATGTCTCGCAAATACTATATATTGGTATATTGATTTTATAATTATATGTATACTATTTCTCTTGTTAAATAAACATTTTTTGTTACATTTACCTACATAATATTAATTTATCGGTATTTTGTAATTTTAAAGATGTTTAAATTTATTTATTTATGTAATAGCAGTTTTAATGTATATTTAAAAATTCACAAATCCAGGTATCAAGAAACAGAAGAGAGTAACCAGGCGCAACTGTACAATGACAAAACAGAAACATCGACAACTTACAAAAACTTACAAAAATATCACCAAATACACAGCACCGAAAAATCTCAATTAGACTTTAATCCATATCAAAACAGTTATTCAACAACTAAGAAAAATTCATACCAGACCCCTTTAATTTTTAATTTTAAAAACTTCCAAACTACCACTTCAGAGCATCCTAGTACAAAATTCTCCTTTAAATTTATGTACCCCCAAGATTCAACAACGAAATCCGCTTACAATTTCAAACAATATTCAAAATTAACAACTACCCAAAAGCCAACTCCGGAAACCTCAACGGTAGGTACCACCAATCGCTACATAGGCAATTACTATTTGCTGAGGAAGCAAACGACAAAAAATCCTTACGATTTTGCCGATTTCGGCAAATCCACACAAAGTCCGTATGACAGCGTGAGCTACAACGAAAACCTAAACAATTACCTGAAGCGGTCATACAACGACGTGAGTTACTTTAGCGATAGCAATAGGCAGTCTGTAAGCAGTAGCGTTTACTGAGTAATAGGGTAAGAAGAAACATCCGAGTTGAAAATCATCGCTCTTCTATTAATTGGCATGATCAAATATTTTTCAAAGTAACAAAATTTCGGTTCGCTCGTAAAACTTCTTTTATCTTAAAAACCTCTTTTTAACTAAGACATACATTCTCAGCAGATTGTTGGATGAAATATGAACGACCATGATATCGCAAATTCAATAAAATTTATTATACATTTCAGCATTAATTTATATTCTAAAATATATACATCTAACTACACCGTTGGAACTATGTGAACATCAGAGTCGCTCCGGAATTAAGCAAGAGTATTAACAAATACAAATGAAGTTTTAGTACCTAACTATTAGGGTTGTGTTTACAATGAATACAATTAATTTAAAAAAACAATGGACAATTATGGAACCTTCTCTTAGTAGCGAAATATTAAATAAAAATCAGAATCGAAGTATGTAATTAAATGATTGTATATATCTGTAACTGTCATTATTTAACATAGGAAAATACTACTAAGAATTACTAGAGACTAATGATCAATGGATTGATCAAAGGATAGATCGTGAAACAAATTGTATGCCAAAAAAACAAAGAATAGCAATGCTTTTTATGTAAAAAGGAAAATTTTGTAAAATATATTAGTATTAATTAATTTAATACATTAAAAACTATATTTCATATTAGGTATTATTTGACTATCCAAAATTTTTACAAATGTACAAAACGCTAGAAATTGAAAACAACACTGAGTAAATATTAAGAAATATACTTTTATATGTACCGATATAATTTAAAAATACACTCAGATTAAATAAAATTTAAATCGAATTAAAACAAAAACATTCAAAATGCGGAAGATGGGTAAAGAAAAATTGATACACTTGAATTTAATATCAGATGGTATCATGTGAAGCGGTAGATGACAGATCGATAAGACAATAGAAAAATCATTATATTTCTTGATCGACATGATTCATATAATTATATTTTAATTACTAAATGTATAATATATTTTATAGAAATATTCCATTTATAATTCTTGAATTTCTTTTTCTATATTTCACTTATTTTCGTCTAACAAAAAATGATTAACAAAGGAATATCCATACATATTTCCATACACTTGAACTATCAACTGCCAATTATCAACAACTGTCAACCTCCCAAGATCTGTTTCACACCTATATTTTACTCTTATATAAACATACAAGCATGTTATATCATAATACATGTATATATACACATACATAACTAAATTTAATCTCGAAATTTATCAAAGAGTGTCATTAAATAAAGTAGCAACTATTAACTTGCTACTAAACCAAGTTTCGAGATTATTTTTTAAAACATTCTAAAACTTCTAGCTTCCAATTTTAGTGATTATTACTATAAGTATAAGAAAAGGCAATGGAGAAGATGTTTTTAAATTAAGCAATTTTTACTAGAATGTATATAGTGGTAATAAAGCTAATAGGCTAAAGTTAAAGCTACTATTTAGTAGATCGTTTCATGTAGGGGAAAGTAGTATATCAATACATAACATTACTTAATTTAGAATGCTTCAAACAATATCTTCTTCATGTCTCTATATTTTCTGATCCACCCACCTGTTTTAAATTTAATCGAATTGCTTTGATTTGTTAGTTCTCTACAGGCAATAAAAACATTTAACAAAAATAACCATAAATTTATTTCAGAAAATTATTATACAAGTTTACAATATGGCAGAAAATTCGCCAGAAATGAAATAAAAAAAAATCTAAAATCAAATAACCAACTGATTGAATTAAACCGATCACACATAATATATATGAGGTAAAAAAAATATATTTTTAACAGATAATCAAAATCATAATTCGGTAAATGTGGACGAAAATAACCCTATGTGTACTAAAATAACGTTACTATTTTTTGTGCAAGTAGTTTAGTCGATTTGATTAGTTTTTATGTCAGGAATCGCAAGCAGGCAATAGTCTAACTCAGCCTGAGAGACGTGCACACCCCTAAGTATGACATTGGGGGGTGGGGGTGATATAATTCATTTTAGCGAGAAATGGGCTATAGAGGCTCACTTATCAGCAAAGTGCTTGCCATGTGGGAGTCCTGGGCACACGAAATCCTACCTCCAACAATGCAAGCCAGCGTAAGGCACTCTATTCCTGCTAGTGACTGATCATCGATCTGTATCGCTTGCTCGATCCTCGAGTTTCCGCTCTGGTTTACTCCCAGTTTGGTGACTCAGACTTCAGAATGTGGGCCCCTCTTGCCCATTTTTTGGGTTTTATTGGTATTTTTGTGGCTTGCGCATTTTGTTGGTGTTTTATTATTTTTGTTTGTGGCCGAAGCCTTTTTTGTATTTTTTTTTTAGATTTTTTTTAGTGCTGTCTGAAACATATCAAATCAACATTAGTAAATACACTGCCATGCCAAAGATAATGCTAATGTTTGCTGTTTGGGTCTTCTGTACTTCCATCTAGGGTACACATCATACTTTAATATCTCTAGCAGGATCCTGTTTAAGTGGTCGTCTAACTCAGCGAATTTTGTTCTGGCTTTTTCCTCCATCATGTCTGCTACAGTTCTTTGTTTTAGGTATCTGAATAGGAACCGTTCAGCGACATATCTGAGCAGGTTTGCAGCGTCTCTAAGGCAGTTAATGAGTGCTACTTGAATCTTCTTTTTATTGCTGTGACTTGTGTGTCCCCATGCAAAAGATATATATGTAATTATTGGTAGTATGATACTGTTTATCAGTCTTAACTTTGTTTTTATAGCTAATTTGCTTCTTCTTTCTGCGATTCCTCTTAGTGCGACTCTGGCCGTTGCTATTTTCTGGACTGTCGCATTAACATGTGGTGTGAATGTTAGACTTTGATCCATTATGACTCCTATACTTCATTTAATTTTAAGATAAGCGCGAATAAAACAATTGTAAACACGTGACCGATGGGTGTGTGGTGTCCTCACAGCTTGTCATTGGTTAGCACTTAATTTCTAACCAATGACAAACTATGATGACATGACACACCCGCCACCCACCGATTTGAAACTGTTTATCTCGAGCTTATCTTGAAATTGGACGAAATATAGTATTTAGTTTCGTCTTGCAATTCGATGGGTCTGTCTGGCACTGTTAGCTGTTCTTCTGGTTCTTATCTCTTCTCTTTTGAAGATATCCGCTTGGGCCTTTTTCTGGATTTATTGGTATTTTCCATTAGATACTCCATTCTTCTATTCTATCCAGTGCTGTCTATAGTTTTTTGCAGTTATATCCAGGTTCCTATGTTTTGCCGCCACGGCAGTGTTGATTGCGTCAGCAATTATCCCAAAGTATTTTCGAAGACAACGACAGATGTTTCTAGCTTTAAGGGTTGGAGGAAGAATTGCATATGTTTTTGAAAGGTAAAATCCTTTCGTATTAAATGAACACAGGGTAATTTGTAAGCTAGCCTCCAAGAAATTAGTTTAATAAAAGTTCGCACAATCTTTCAATCCAGGTTTTCCAACCTTTAATCTTTGATAAAGCTAATTCTCTTACGTCATAATTGTACTCGATTTGTCTTACAGCTAGCAGCTTCTTGCATTCTTCTGCATCTTTTGAGATATCATATAGTGCAAGACGATTTATGTGCACAACTTTTGGTTTCCCTCTTAGCACTTTCTTAATTCGATTTAAAGGGAACTTCCCATTCGCTAAGAAATTAAGAGGCAGGCGTCGTTATAGATTATATAGACAAGATCACCTATTTCGAAACTTCCATTTATGGACAGAGAATATATAGAGAGAATATAATATTGAGAGACTATTTAGTCCAAGAATATTTCCAAGTCCTTCTTGGAAATATTCTTTCAAACAAGGAAATAAAGGACATTAACGAGAATACGTCGGACATAATATAGAGACGAGATAAGACAAATCGAGGAAAGCCATACAAAAAACACGCGCGACTCTATTAGAACACGACAGACAGAAGACGAGAGCATGGATGTCTGGATACTATGGATGAGCGACGTAAATTCAAAAATAAAAATGCAGAAATTCCAGCAGGTCCATAAAATCATAAATACAAAAATTCGAGAAGCCAAAGAACGATGTTTTTTCAACGAATATAGGGAAATATAATAATACGAAAGTAAACACGACAGTTAGAACATGCACACAAAAATATCACCAATCATAAACAATAACAAATTAAATCAGTCACCCAAAAGCATAAAGAATCAAATCCTACATATAAAAGATCTTAGAAACAAATCCTACATATAAAAATTATTTGCATCAAACAGGACTGATGATCAGCTAGATGGAGAAAGAGACGCAGGATCTTTCATTGATTGAAGATGCCATTGAAGCATTAAAAAACAACAAGGTAGCAGGTTCAGACAATGAAATACAAAAGATCCTACGTAAATCAGACAAACAATTCCTTGATAATCTAGTTGCAATTTTTAACAACATATTTAATAGCGGAAAAATCTCAAAGGACTGATTGCAGTCGACTCTTATTACAATCCCGAAGAAACCAAATGCCCAGCTCTGTGATATTAGGAACTACCGGCTTATAAGCTTGATCAATTACATCACTAAAGCGTTCACCAAGATCATTCATAGAATACCGAGTATATGATAAATGTTAGTCAAATATTGATAAATGGTAGTTGGAAAGTGCATAAAAATAAACGGTGAGTTAACGAAAAATATAAGATATGCCGATGACACAATGATCATTTCCAGTAGCATAGATGAATTACAACACCTTTGATAGAAGATGGAACTTAAAGAAGAAGAATGGAGAGAGTTAATGCAGTCATTGAGCCAAAGCCTAAACTTCAGAAAGACAAAATGGATGCTGAGCGCAATTGCAACAACTTGCTCGACAGTTACGGATAGACAACATACAAATTGACCATGTAGAATCTTATGTATACCTTAGACTAACGGAAATGCAAAATGGGAATAAGCCACAGAAATTAAGGCGAGATCAGAATGAGCTTTTATTAGAAG